CGTGCTGCTGCTTTTGGCAGCATCTGCTCTCCTAAAGAGACTAACCAGCCCTCGGCACGCACTGATGATGTCATGAGGGCCTGATTAAACCCTAAACACATCCTAAAATCCACACAGAGAGAGAGAGAGAGAGAGAGAGAGAGAGAGAGAAAAGAGAGAGAATAGAGGGGGGGTGCCAATGTTTAGGATAGCTATAAACAAGAGTATGGATTCCACAAACATCTGTTGTGGTACACTTTTGATGTGGCAAGTGTGTCTGTAACCTGAGATATGTGTGTGCAGTGTTGGGGAGTAAAACTAAACTAAAGTAAACTAAAAGGAACTACAACTAATCTAAAAGGAACAATGCATCTAAATTAAAGGGATAGTTTACCCAAAAATTGTAATTATGAATTTAGTCTTATTTAATTGAGGCTTTCATTCAAGTATAAACCCAAGAATCACTCACATGTTTAGTTTGGGGACCAGTTCTCACTATTAACTAACTATTAACTATGAATTTTGCCTCAATAAACTTCTAATTTGCTGCTTATCAATAGTTAGTAAGGTAGTTGTTAAGTTAAAATGATCTGGTTGCAACAGAACAGCTCAATGGAGGGGATAATTATTTGTGAATAATCACGTAAATTTGTGTTTCTTCCTCACATAAAACTATATAGTACACACTACACAGGTCATATGAACCCCTTTAATGATGTTTTTATGGTGCTTGTTCACCCTTTCTGAAGCTTAAAAGCTCCACTCTCCATCCACTGTAAATGCAATGTAAAAGCATGCCCAGGCAACACACTCTAATGACAATTTGAACTGTTCTAGTGTTTAGGCTAACTGTTCTCATGAGATTAGTTGGACCGGGATATTCTTTAAAACTTCTCCTTCATGGTGTTTAATGGAACACAATTAGGGTAACTAAATGTGTGTGTGTGTGTGCACGCGCGTGCGTGTGTTTTTGTGACATATGAGGACACACATTTGTATAATGACATGGGTATGACATAGGTATTACAAGAAGAAGGTGACTTATGAGGACTTACCCCATGTCCCTATTTTTCAAAAGGCTTATAAATCATACAGAGTGAGTTTTTTTGAGAAAGTAAAAATGCACAAAGTTTCCTGTAAGGGGTAGGTTTAGGTGTAGGGCAATAGCACATACAGTTTGTACAGTATAAAAACTATTACGCC